GTGTCGGTGAGGCCCAGGGCATGCCCAGGCCAGGGTGGGCCCCTCGGGGTCTGGCGCAGAGTGGACACCCGCCTCCCTCCAGAAGCCAGGCTCCAGGCCCACGGAGAAGCCGAGGCCAGGACAGGGGCCCTGGGCGCGCTGGCCCCCATCCCCAAGTCACTTAAGTGGCGTTCGTCCCCGGGGCCACCCCTCCTGGCTATCCTGTGACTCCGGGGTCCCCCCCCACAAGGATTTGGTGTCCAGAGCCAGCACACTCCTCTCCCAGGGGTGGGGCATCCTGATCCCCATGCCTGAGCTAGAGTCCAGTGAGTCTGTGGCTCCAAGCCCTGGGCCCCGGCCTTGAAGCTGCCTGGCACCTACTTTTTGGGTTGATGGTGTTGATACGGCGATCCCCATGCCTGAGCCCGGAAGGACAGATAGGACCTTGTACTGAAAGACAACAGAGCTGCCATCACCACGGGCCTCGCCCTGGCCTTCCGCATGACCTAGCACTGCCCTGCCAAGCAGAGTCAAGCCCACAGGGCCCAGACTGCCCCGCCATGAGGGAACAAGGCTGCAGGCAGGCCCCTCCTGACAGCGACTGGGAGTCGGGCCTGGAAACAGCTATCCTCGCCCCGATCAGGCTGGCCCGTGGTCAGCCTGGCCTAGGCACTGCATGTAGGCAATGGGCTCAGGCCCAGTACTAGGGCCAAGCAGCAGGAGGGGCACTGCGCCCACCTGTGCCCATGGCCACGGCATGTTCCACATGGCACGCGTGGAAACAGGCTGCAAGTGCTGGGGCAGATGCACCCTCCACTCTCACCATGAGCGGGCCAGGCGCTCAGGGTGCCTGGCTTTTCTCAGAGGGGTCTCGAACACCAGGCAGGGAGAACTGGGGTGAGTCAGCTCAGACAGCCGACCTGCGGCTGTCACCCCTCTACTCCAGGACACACAGCCTGGCCCAGGGCACCCCACTGCTCTCCTCTTGTCTGCATGACGGGGGCCACAGCAGGTGGGGAGCAGAAGTTGAGCCGGGCTGCGGCCATGCCACGCTGAGGAGGCTGACGGGGCTCTTCAGGAAGGCAGCCCGTGCCAGCAGCTCTGCCGAAGCCCAACAGCCTGCCCTCCGTGCTGTCCCAGACCCGACACTGCCAGCCTGGAGGCCCCGCAGGGGCAGCGCTGACGCCGCGGGGGCGTACCAACCTTCTGGATGTCGGTGATATCCAGCAGTTTGATGACCTTGTTTCTCTTGGAAGACCCGGATTTGGAGCTCTCGAAGCACAGGTAACTAGACGGGAGGGAGCACACGGGCGCCCTCTGCAGCCCAGCCGAGCGTGGTTCGCAAGCACGGGCTTCCCTGGGCTGCCAGCCCATGGGACATCCCTCCCACCCAATACAGGGCCAAGCCAAGTCCAAGGCTCTGGTCCCATGAGGCTATGACCCTGGGATCCCAAAAGGCCTGCCTGGGCTGTCCTGGGCCAGCTCCTCCAGCCAGGGGGCCGAGAGGGAAGCAGGGGGCCTTGGCTGTGGACACAGGGTGGTTGGCAGCCCCAAGCTGAGAACAGACTCCGCCCCTGGGCCTGTCACCCACCTCCCGCAGCTGAGGGGGCAGTGGGGACAAGCAGGGCCCAGTCCTACTCTACATCGCCTCCAGGGAACCAGCAGTTAGCGTAATGGCTATGTCGCTGGACTCGCACGTAGTCAACCGCGGTTCGTGTCCCAGACCCGGTGGCTTAGAACTCATGCCGGGTGCGTGTGCGTGCGTTCCCAAGATCCCGAGAGGAGAATGGAGGAGAAGGGATTGCGGCGTGACCATCCCCCCTGGGGGGTGATTTCTCGCTTTCTGTCTCTATGTCTCTCTCTGTCTGTCTGGCAAGCGCACGCGCCCTATAAGCGAAAACCTCTCCAAAAAAAAAAAAAACCAACAACAACATCGCCTCCAGGCCACCGCACTCCCCAACAATGGGGACTTGGACTGGCTCCAGCAGGCCCCTCCTCGGGAGCCTCAGCCCCTCGCCTCCCTGTCCAGTGTCCAGCTTGCCCAGTGCGAGCACCACGGCCCAAGGGGTGGCAGCAATGTGGTCCCCTGGAGCTGGTCAGCAAGGCGGCCGAAGCACGGGAGGCAGGAGCCCGGCGCTGGAACGCCTGCCTGCTGAGCCCGGGCACACCCTGATCCCAGCCCATGAGTTGCCTCTGGGCCTCCTTCAAGCTCGGAGCTGGGCTCGGGCCTGGGCCTCACTCACTTTTCCGTCACATACAGCACGCCGTTCCTGATGTAGTCCGTGGGCATCTTCCGGTCTCTGTTTATCAGGCAGCAGCGCCAGCCGTTCTCGCAGGCTGAGGGCAAGACTGAGCTGGCACCCTTCCCCACAACACCCGCCCCGGCCCGCCGTCGGCACCGACTTCGGATGCTGGCGCCCTGTGCCACCATCATGAGTCCACAGTGAGCGGACGGTGGGCGCCACGGGGGTCACAGCCTCTTCAACCCAGGACGCAGTGAAAGGGATGGTGGCAGGTGGGACACGGCAAAGGGCACAGTCCACCGCAGCTGGCGGCTCCCACGGCCCAGGCTCCTGCACCCCACCCCTGCAGGCAGGCCTCCAGTGCAGCCATGGTCAGCACGCAGCAGACCGCCACAGCAGGGGCCACCACAGGAGGCCACTCTGGAAGGCCGAGCCGAGGTCTGGCCTGAGTCGCCTCTTCCTAGATGCCCTCCTGTTCCCCAAGAGGGCCAGGACTCCCGGGGATAGGGACAGGCGTCAGGCTGGCAGCTGCAGCTCTGATGCCCACATGGTCTCCACAGACTCCCGGCCTCCCTCGGGCGGCCCCTCTGAGCACCGGCCATGGCAGCACGGCGCAGGAAGGGCAGGCCCCTCTCCTTTGCCGGCCCGAGCCGTGTGGGTGGGACCCTGGCTCCCGCACGGTCTCGCTCGGGCCCAACCGCCCCTCCTGTGCAGGCCACGCATGCCAGCCTCCCCTCAGGGCCGGGCTCGGCTGGGCGGGGCTCTCAGCACACGCACCTGCCAGCGGACGCTCGTTCTCCGTCAGGTTGAAGATCTCGTGGAAGTTGCCCCTCTTGGTGCTGTGGAGGCGCCCAGCGTCCTCGTCCCTGCTCAGCCCCGCCGGCGCGCTGGACACGCAGCTGCGTGAAGAGGCCGTCTGCAACTGCCAATGGCACGCACGCGGTCACCACGCCACCGGGCATCGGCCTCCTGCCCACACCCGCGGTGACACCAGAGACAGGTCTCCCGGCCCCGAGGGCTGGGGCCCCACTCTCCTGGGCTCAGGTGGGGGAATCCCTCACAGCGTCCCCACAACCTCCCCACCCGAATGTGGCGGCCAAGCCGCAGCCCAGCACACACGGTCTGAGGACGCGCCAGAGCGACATTTAAAGGCCAATCAGCAAG